GATTTTAAAATAATCTGACAAGCTCAATTTTATTTTATAAATGTGATGAATTTATTGGATACTTCAAGGTTAACTTAAGCACAATTTTTTATTTTTTGTAGTACTCAATACTCATCTAGGGTATTATGACGACCGCAATATCAGATACTACAGATACTAGGTAAAAATGGTAAAATAACTATCTTTTTGGTTTTTTTTTTAGGTTACTAATAATATCAGATATTATTATTTACATTTATTATCATAGACCATGTTCTATATACCTAAAACCAATTCTAACCTTAATTTTAAGGTGATTTAGATTAGGTATTAATTGTTTTCTAACTAAATAAGTCTGAATACAACCACGGAAATATTCAAATTGAGTTGGGTATTATTTTCAAATTTTCATATTATTCTAAATCTTTAAATTAAAGTAGTATAAGTATAAAAAATTGTGTAGGTACCCATATTTTTATAAAAAATATGGAAATATTACTGATTTTTGAGATTATAATAGGTAGTTGAAATAACCAAATAAACAATTATGAATTTTGAATCACTCAACAATTCTAACTAAATGTTATGACTCATTAAAATATAAAATCCTACTTAAATAGTAGGTAYACTACAACATTTAGAAGGTCCATATAGAAAATTTAACTAGGCGCTTAATAAATCTATTCAAAGAGAATGTACTAGTATGAATATGAAAGCAGAAATAGTGGAGGGCTTTCAAGAAAGTGAAATCAGAAAGGTATGTCTAGAAGGGTAGGGCTCTGTTGAAAATATTTTAGGAAGCAAGTTTAAAAAAGGAGAAAGGAAATTTATGGAGGAATTAAGAAAAGAAAGAATCGATTCCTAATTGTACTTATTTTTATTAATTTAAATGCGTTTAAATGTTTATATTTTCACTAGTTATAAGTTACTTTCAAATAGATAATTCAATTAAAATAAGAACAAATAGTTATTAATAAATAATGTACAATATATTAGAAAAATTAMATATTCCAAGAATTTATGAGAAATATATAATAACCATTTTAATATGACAAGCTATGTTATATTATGTGATGCCATATCGATGACTACCTACCATATGTTTAACAAGGAAATAAAAAAATTACTAGCTTCATTACTTGGTAGCAGAGTATTTTCAATATGTAATAACATCCAATTCATGACTTGAATCGTTTAATTTAAAATACAAAAATAATTGTGAGTATTGACAAGTATTTAAGCTTTTTGGAATATTTTAATACTATTGCATTAAAAATGTATTGCACCTACCTAATTATTTTATATAGATACCTAGTTTGCAGGTACCTAAGCAGATAATACCGAGGGTAATACCCTATTAAACTGTACCAGGCAATCAACTCATTTGCATAAGTAACTAAACTGATAAAATTGATACAATTACCTTGTTTTAATGTTCTACGTGACAAGAACACAGATATATTCTTTGTAATACATTTTTGAAGTCACTAGGTACGTACCTAGCTAGATACAATTATTTTACGTACCTACCTACAAGTGAACGTGAAAATCATTCGGTTATGAAATTTKATGAAAATTTTATCCCAGTACGCCTGCATTTAATGTTTTCCCCAAGCGAGTACTCCGGAGTACTCAGTGTTATACACTTGTTATCAATTTTACAATACCTACAGTCCGATTAAAGAAATATTATTTATAAAAAAATACCTACTTAAGTGTCTAATCACAAACGATTTTWAAGTGTCAAACTGTCAATGGAATATTAATGACAAAAAAGTGTGTTAYCTGTCTACTAGACAAAAAAAAAAATAAAAAATTTGTGCATGCCCATACTTAATTAAATAGATTTTAAATTATTAATATATACAAGCATGCGCGAGCGTGTATTRATATGTCGTTATTATTATTATTATTATTATTATTATCATCATCGTCGTCGTCGTAGTCCGTTGGCAATAAAATATTTGCCAATTGTAGAGAATTCGATCTATACGAAAGAGGAGAGAAAAAAAAGAGAAATTTCCTTTGTCATTGCATTGTGTGCGCGAATAACGGGACAGGAAAAAGGAATGAAAAAAAAAGTGAAGGGGTGTGGAACTGGTTTTCATACCGCCTGGTGAAAATCATGTGCAGACACCGTACTACAAACACACGCGCGTAAGTAGGCCAAAACAAAACGGAAATGCCCTAAAAATTTTTATATATACACACAAAATAATTAAAACTCGGCCGTCGTGAGATCCTGGTCGAGTTCACTAGTCAATATATTAATATTAACGGAATTTTATCGTCTCACGGACGAAACATCTCAAATTTCGTGAGAAAATCGAGRGAAAACACCGGAAAACCTAATCGATTTATAAATTGTATTAATAATTATTAGGCACCTGACAATGTACTTATTTATGATTAATGATAATAACAACACGTCGCAACCGCATTGCCTAAACTATACATGGGCCTTGTTTCACATTATCAGGCCACTCCGGCCAGCCATTGTCGTCGCTATTATATTATTATGATCATTTACCGYGGTGGTCAAATATTGCACAGGCACTATGTTATACACTTACCCCCAAGTACGGACTGCAGGCGGACAACACGACTTTGTGAGCTTTCAGGTATCGTCCTTCTGCGGCCAGAGTGCAATCCACAAGCGTGCCGCTCTCCAGAAGGCTGTCGAACACCGAAATCAGTGTCCTCTGATGGTTGTTCCATCGCAGGCAGAACTGTTGGCTGACGGACATGACGGCGTGTAGTGGCGGTGGTTTGTGCGCACCGCGGCCTTTGGTCTTTCACACGTTTTCACGGACGGGCGGCGGGGCGCCGGGATCGGACGTCGGCGGTGGTGATGATGATGATGACGACGGTGATACTGATAATGATATGGGTATGGGTGCACCGCGCCGGGGAGTGACGACGACGACGACGACGACGATCGGTCCGCTACGCGAAACTCGGTACGCCGGATACTGTTGTACTGGCGTTGGATCTACGCGTCCGATGCGCCGTTCTACTGGATCCGCGGCATCGCGACGAGTGGAAAAATTCGACGGCGGCGCCGATAGCGATATGTACACCGCACAACGGTTCTCGGTCGGTCGGTCGCGGTCGTAGTTCGCGGTGCAAGAAAAAATCAAAAAAATCTAATATCACGACAAAATATCTCGATAAAAAATGTTTTTAATGCGCGTACAGCGGCGGCATGTACAAACGAGCTGGTTTTATTAATAATAATATTAATGTGATTGTTAATGTTATTATTATTATCCTACCGTGTATATTATTATTATATATAAACAATGATATTGTTATTATCACACACGACGTGTGTGCGATGCACTGCTGCTGGTCGGTCCGATTAAAATGTTGATATATATATGTATTGTTATAATGGTAACGATAATAATAATAATCACAGTGTTTAGGTATTAATAATACGTCGGTTTTGGTGTTATCGTCGTCGTTGTTGCGGTGCCCGGACCCGTTTTCGAAAACGCCCGGTGTGGTGCGCGGACGGCGAGACGGACGCGTTTCTTTTTCGACTACTACGACACCACCACAGCGGCAGATCTACACGACGATATTATTATTTTCGTCCGTTCGGGCAACACAACACGTACACACGCGCACGCACGCGATTACACACTCGCACGGGCAACAAACACGCACACGCACACACACATACACAAACGCGCGTGCGCGCACTCGCAAAGAGACACACGC